GATATTATTCTCCGTTTCGTTGTTTAGGAAGCGATCATACTGGAAATGTGATGGGCTATAGGTATTTATTTAGCGTTTCTTTACCAAGAGTTCTAAATAGCGCAAATACTACTGCAGCCAATGGCACTACTGGTCTGTCTCTCCCAGCGATCCTCTCAGAGGCAGCAGAGCCCCCAGGGACCCTCCCTTGGGCGGCAGTGCCCCCAGGGGCAACGGCGACGCCACGGAGCCTTCCATTGGACACGGCACCCCCAGGAACCATCCCAGGGGTGGTGGCGCTCCCAGGGACCATCACATGGACGGCGGGGCTCCCAGGGACCCTCACAGGAGAGGTGGCGCCCCCAGGGACCATCACATGGACGACGGGGCTTCCAGGGACCCTCACAGGGGTGGTGGCGCTCCCAGGGACCCTCACAGGGACGGCGGGGATTCCAGAGACTCTCGTAGGCACCCTCCCAAGGGCAGAAGCGCCTCCAGGGACCCTTGTAGGGGCAGCCTCGCCCCAAGGGACCTTCCCAGGAGCGGGTTCGCCCCCAGGAACCCTTCCATGGGCAGGTTCGCCCTGAGGGACCCTCTTTGGGGCATCGGCATCTCCAACGACCTTCCTAGGGGCGAAAGGACACCTAGGGAGCGTCCCAGGGAAATGGTGCTTTAAGGGATTCTCCCAGGGGCTGAGGATTTTATAGGACCCTCCCACGGGTGTCTGCGCCCCTAGGGATTCTCCAGGGGGCATTTGCGCCTCAAGGGACCCTCCCAAGGGCGACACCTCCACCAGGGACCTTTCCAAGGGCCCCCAAGGACGATATGGCATGCTTGGTCTTTGAAAAAAGGTCACCTATATTACATACTTTCAGCAGTCCCTTACTTAACTATGATTGGTGGAGTATTCTTTTAGCCACCACATTACAGCCAATAGGAGAAGAGAGCAGTAAGTCAGCACAACACCACAAATTATGTTTTCCTGTTTGATATTATTCTCCGTTTCGTTGTTTAGGAAGCGATCATACTGGAAATGTGTTGGGCAATAGGTATTTATTTAGCGTTTCTTTTCCAAGAGTTCTAAATAGCGCAAATACTACTGCAGCCAGTGGCACTACTGGTCTGTCTCTCCCAGCGATCCTCTCAGAGGCAGCAGAGCCCCCAGGGACCCTCCCTTGGGTGGCAGTGCCCCAGGGGCAACGGCGACGCCACGGAGCCTTCCATTGGACACGGCACCCCCAGGAACCATCCCAGGGGTGGTGGCGCTCCCTGGGACCATCACATGGACGGCGTGGCTCCCAGGGACCCTCACAGGTGAGGTGGCGCCCCCAGGGACCATCACATGGAGGACGGGGCTTCCAGGGACCCTCACAGAGGTGGTGGCGCCCCCAGGGACCCTCACAGGGACGGCGGGGATTCCAGGGACTCTCGTAGGCACCCTCCCAAGGGCAGAAGCGCCTCCAGGGACCCTCGTAGGGGCAGCCTCGCCCCAAGTGACCTTCCGAGGAGCCGGTTCGCCCCCAGGAACCCTTCCATGGGCAGGTTTGCCCTGAGGGACTCTCTCAGGGGCGTCGGCGTCTCCAACGACCTTCCTAGGGGCGAAATGACACCTAGGGATCGTCCCAGGGAAAGTGGTGCTTTAAGGGATTCTCCCAGGGGCTGAGGATTTTATAGGACCCTCCCACGGGTGTCTGCACCCCTATGGATCCTCCCGGGGGCATCTGCGCCTCCAGGGACCCTCCCAGGGGCGACACCTCCTCCAGGGACCTTTCCAAGGGCCCCCAAGAACCATATGGCATGCTTGGTCTTTGAAAAAATTTCACATATATTACATACTTTCAGCAGTCCCTTACTTAACTATGATTGGTGGAGTATTTTTTTATCCACCAAATTACAGTCAATAGGAGAAGAGAGCAGTAAGTCAGCACAACACCACAACTTATGTTTTCCTGTTTGATATTATTTTCCGTTTCGTTGTTTAGGAAGCGATGATACTATAAATGTGATGGGCTATAGGTATTTATTTAGCGTTTCTTTACCAAGAGTTCTAAATAGCGCAAAAACTACTGCAGCCAGTTGCCCCTACTGGTCTGTCACTCCTAGGGATCCTCTCAGAGGCAGCAGAGTCCCCAGGGACCATCCATGGGTGGCAGTGCCCCCAGGGGCAACGGCCCCTCCACGGAGCCCTCCATCAGAGGCAGCACCCCCAGGAACCCTCCCAGGGGTGGTGGCGCCCCCAGGGACCATTACAGGGACGGCGAGGCTTCCATGGACCCTCACAGGGACGGCGGGGACCCCAGGGACACTCACAGGGACCCTCTGAAGGGCTGAAGCGCCCCCAGGGACCCTCCTAGGGGCAGCCTCTCCCCAAGGGACCCTCCCACGGGCGGGGTCGCCCCCAGGAACTCTTCCATGAGCAGGGTCGCCCTTAGGGACTCTCTCATGGGCAGGTTCGACCTTAGAGACCTTCTCAGAGGCATTTACGTCTCCAACGACCTTCCTAGGGGCGAAAGGACACCTAGGGATCGTCCCAGAGATAGCGGTGCTTTAAGGGATCATCCCAGGGGCTGAGTAGATTAAAAGGACCCTCCCATGGGCGTCTGCGTCCCAGGGACCCTCCAGGGGGCATCTGCTCTTCCAGGGACCCTCCCAGGGGCGACGCATCCACCAGGGACCATACCAAGGGTCCCCAAGTTTCATATGGCATGCCTGGTCTTTAATTCATTATATATTTCATACTTTCAGCAGTCCCTTACTTAACTAAGATTGGTGGAGTATTTTTTTATCCACCAAATTACAGCCAATAGGAGAAGAGAGCAGTAAGTCAGCACAACACCACAACTAATGTTTTCCTGTTAGATATTATTCTCCGTTTCGTTGTTTAGGAAGCGATCATACTGGAAATGTGATGGGCTATAGGTATTTATTTATTTAACGTTTCTTTACCAAGAGTTCTAAATAGCGCAAATACTACTGCAGCCAGTGGCACTACTGGTCTGTCACTCCTAGGGATCCTCTCAGAGGCAGCAGAGCCCCCAGGGACCCTCTCTTGGGCGGCAGTGCCCCCAGGGGCAACGGCGACGCCACGGAGCCTTCCATTGGACACGGCACCCCCAGGAACCCTCCCAGGGGTGGTGGCGCTCCCAGGGACCATCACATGGACGGCGGGGCTCCCAGGGACCCTCACAGGAGAGGTGGCGCCCCCAGGGACCATCACATGGACGACGGGGCTTCCAGGGACCCTCACAGGGGTGGTGGCGCCCTCAGGGACCCTCACAGGGACGGCGGGGATTCCAGGGACTCTCATAGCCACCCTCCCAAGGGCAGAAGCGCCTCCAGGGACCCTCGTAGGGGCAGCCTCGCCCCAAGGGACCTTCCGAGGAGCGGGTTTGCCCCCAGGAACCCTTCCATGGGCAGGTTCGCCCTGAGGGACCCTCTCAGGGGCATCGGCGTCTCCAACGACCTTCCTAGGGGCGAAAGGACACCTAGGGATCGTCCCAGGGAAAGTGGTGCTTTAAGGGATTCTCCCAGGGGCTGAGGATTTTATAGGACCCTCCCACGGGTGTCTGTGCGCCCCTAGGGATTCTCCCGGGGGCATCTGCGCCTCCAAGGACCCTCCCAAGGGCGACACCTCCACCAGGGACCTTTCCAAGGGCCCCCAAGGACGATATGGCATGCGTGGTCTTTGAAAAAATATCACAAATATTACATACTTTCGGCAGTCCCTTACTTAACTATGATTGGTGGAGTATTTTTTTAGCCACCATATTACAGCCAATAGGAGAAGAGAGCAGTAAGTCAGCACAACACCACAACTTATGTTTTCCTGTTAGATATTATTCTCCGTTTCGTTGTTTAGGAAGCGATGATACTATAAATGTGATGGGCTGTGTATTTATTTAGCGTTTCTTTACCAAGAGTTCTAAATAGCGCAAAAACTACTGCAGCCAGTGGCCCCTACTGGTCTGTCACTCCTAGGGATCCTCTCAGAGGCAGCAGAGTCCCCAGGGACCATCCATGGGTGGCAGTACCCCCAGGGGCAACGGCGCCTCCACGGAGCCCTCCATCAGAGGCAGCACCCCCAGGACCCCTCCCAGGGGTGGTGGCGCCCCCAGGGACCATTACAGGGACGGCGGGGCTTCCATGGACCCTCACAGGGATGGCGGGGCCCCCAGGGACACTCACAGGGACCCTCTGAAGGGCTGAAGCGCCCCCAGGGACCCTCCTAGGGGCAGCCTCTCCCCAAGGGACCCTCCCAGGGGCGGGGTCGCCCCCAGGAACTCTTCCATGAGCAGGGTCGCCCTTAGGGACCCTCTCATGGGCAGGTTCGCCCTTAGAGACCTTCTCAGAGGCATTTACGTCTCCAACGACCTTCCTAGGGGCGAAAGGACACCTAGGGATCGTCCCAGAGATAGCGGTGCTTTAAGGGATCATCCCAGGGGCTGAGTAGATTAAAAGGACCCTCCCATGGGCGTCTGCGTCCCAGGGACCCTCCAGGGGGCATCTGCTCTTCCAGGGATCCTCCCAGGGGCGACGCATCCACCAGGGACCATACCAAGGGTCCCCAAGTTTCATATGGCATGCCTGGTCTTTAATTCATTATATATTACATACTTTCAGCAGTCCCTTACTTAACTATGATTGGTGGAGTATTCTTTTATCCACCAAATTACAGCCAATAGGAGAAGAGAGCAGTAAGTCAGCACAACACCACAACTTATGGTTTCCTGTTAGATATTATTCTCCGTTTCGTTGTTTAGGAAGCGATCATACTGGAAATGTGATTGGCTATAGGTATTTATTTAGCGTTTCTTTACCAAGAGTTCTAAATAGCGCAAATACTACTGCAGCCAGTGGCACTACTGGTCTGTCTCTCCCAGCGATCCTCTCAGAGGCAGCACAGCCCCCAGGGACCCTCCCTTGGGTGGCAGTGCCCCCAGGGGCAACGGCGACGCCACGGAGCCTTCCATTGGAGACGGCACCCCCAGGAACCCTCCCAGGGGTGGTGGCCCTCCAGGGGACCATCACATGGACGGCGGGGCTCCCAGGGACCCTCACATGGGAGGTGGCGCCCCCAGGGACCATCACATGGACGTCGGGGCTTCCAGGGACCCTCACAGGGGTGGTGGCGCCCCTAGGGACCCTCACAGGGACGGCGGGGATTCCAGGGACTCTCATAGGCACCCTCCCAAGGGCAGAAGCTCCTCCAGGGACCCTCGTAGGGGCAGCCTCGCCCCAAGTGACCTTCCGAGGAGCGGGTTCGCCCCCAGGAACCCTTCCATGGGCAGGTTCGCCCTGAGGGACCCTCTCAGGGGCATCGGCGTCTCCAACGACCTTCCTAGGGGCGAAAGGACACCTAGGGATCGTCCCAGGGAAAGTGGTGCTTTAAGGGATTCTCCCAGGGGCTGAGGATTTTATAGGACCCTCCCACGGGTGTCTGCGCCCCTAGGGATTCTCCCGGGGGCATCTGCGCCTCCAGGGACCCTCCCATGGGCGACACCTCCACCAGGGACCTTTCCAAGGGCCCCCAAGGACGATATGGCATGCGTGGTCTTTGAAAAAATATCACATATATTTCATACTTTCGGCAGTCCCTTACTTAACTATGATTGGTGGAGTATTTTTTTAGCCACCATATTACAGCCAATAGGAGAAGAGAGCAGTAAGTCAGCACAACACCACAACTTATGTTTTCCTGTTAGATATTATTCTCCGTTTCGTTGTTTAGGAAGCGATCATACTGGAAATGTGATGGGCAATAGGTATTTATTTAGCGTTTCTTTACCAAGAGTTCTAAATAGCGCAAATACTACTGCATCCAGTGGCACTACTAATCTGTCACTCCCAGGGATCCTCTGAAAAGCAGCGGAGCCTCCAGGGACCGTCCATGGGTGGCAGTGCCCCTAGTGGCAACGGCGCAGACGCGGAGCCTTTCATCGGAGGCGTTATCCCCAGGAACCCTCCCAGGGATGGTGGCGCCCCCAGGGACCATCACACGGACGGGGGGGCTTCCAGGGACCCTCACAGAGGTGGTGGCGTCCCCAGGGACCCTCACAGGGACGGCGGGGCCCCCATGGACACTCACAGGGACCCTCACAGGGGCAGAAGCGCCCCCAGGAACCCTCCTAGGGGCAGCCTCTCCCCAAGGGACCCTCCCAGGGGCGGGTTTGCCCCCAGGAACTCTTCCATGGGCCGGTTCGCCCTTAGGGACCCTCTCATGAGAAGGTTTGCCCTTAGGGACCCTCTCAGGGGCATATACGTCTCCAATGACTTTCCTAGGGGCGAAATGACACCTAGGGATCGTCCCAGGGAAAGCGGTGCTTTAAGGGATCCGCCCAGAGGTTGAGTAGATTTAAAGGACCCTCCCATGGGCGTGTGCGTCCGAGGGACCCTCCCTGTGGCAGGTTCGCCCTTAGGGACCCTTTTAGGGGCATTTACGTCTCCAATGACTTTCCTTGGGGCGAAAGGACACCTAGTGATCGTCCCAGGGAAAGCGGTGCTTTAAGGGATCCTCCCAGGGGCTGAGGAGATTTAAATAACCCTCCCGGGGGTATCTGCTCTTCCAGGGACCCTCGCAAGGGCAACGCATCCACCAGGGACCATATCAAGGGCCCCCAAGTTTAATGTGGCATGCCTGGTCTTTGTTTCATATTTATTTCATATTTTCAGCAGTCCCTTATTTAACTATGATTGGTGGAGTATTCTTTTATCCACCATATTACAGCCAATAGGAGAAGAGAGCAGTAAGTCAGCACAACACCACAACTTATGTTTTCCTGTTAGATATTATTCTCCGTTTTGTAGTTTAGGAAGCGATGATACTGGAAATGTGATGGGCTATGTATTTATTTAACGTTTCGTTACCAAGAGTTCTAAATAGTGCAAAAACTACTGCAGCCAGTGGCCCCTACTGGTCTGGCTCTCCCACCTGCCCTCCCAAGGGCGGAGGAGCCCCAAGAACCCCACAGCAGCCTGGGGGCGATGGCGCCTCCAGGATTCTTCCTAAAGGTGGCGGCGCCTCAAGGGTTCTCCCCAAGGGTGGTGACGCCCCCAGGGGCCCTCCATGGGGCGGTGGCGCCGTATGGGGTTTTTAAAGAAGCGATGGCGCACCCTCGGGCCTTATCAGGGGAGATGGCGCCCCCAGGAGCCTTTCCTGGTGAGGTGGTGCCTCTAGGGGCCCTCCCAGGAGCGACAGCACCCCCAGGGGCTCTCCCAGGTTCGGCAGCGCCCTCAGGGGCCTTTCCAGGAGTGGTGGCGACCCAAGGGACCCTCCAATGGGCGAAGGAGCCCCCAGGGTAGAGAGGGAAGGAAATGATTATACAATGAAGATAATAAGATGCGATCCTTAGAGAACTTATCTTTAGGTCCGAGCTTTAACAAGTGAGTTAAAAGCCTTCTCACTTTACCATTTGAGGTGTGTAAAAATATTTTGTCTGACCTTTCGAGAATCCTCGCCTATAGTGCTCGCTATCTGGCAGATTCTAAAGTCACGCTCCAAAACCTCACGGGCGACAATGACTTCCACCTGGGTGAGTCATGAGTCACTGTAATTAGAGAACATTTTTGAGTCGTAAGAACAGCGGGAGAGTCTTTGTGAAGAAGCCCAAGACGTGGCCAACATACGAGTGGGCCGCCATGTTCGTCCAGTGTAAACATCTGTTTCTCAGCTACAACGGCTAATTATTAACAACAAATGAATACACGAAAAAAAAAAAATACATATATATATATATGTGTGTGTGTGTGTGTGTGTGTGTGTGTGTGTGTGTGATTGTGTGTGTGTGTGTGTGTGTGTGTGCGGTTATATATATATATATATATATATATATATATATATATATATATATATATATATATATATATATATATAAACAGTCAAATGTACCAAAACATACAGGTAACAATACTAAAACTAACACAACACTAAAATCCAAAAACAAGATTAAGGGACTAAGATTGATCATGGCTTCAGAAAACCCCTGGGGGAAATATTTACACTCCTACAAATATAACCATGAATATCACTATTACCCCCGCGACTTCTAAGTAAATCAGCGCAGGGAAACTTATTTCAACTCCTAAAGCCTTCAAGAACTACCATCAAAGACTGTATTTCCTTCCAGAACCCCCTAAAGAACCACGATCAAAGAACAGATTAACCCATGAGAACTCGTGAATCCCTCGTCAATGTTTGGATCAATGTCACCAAAGAGGTGTTCTCGAGTTAGGCGGTTTCTTCACATACGCCAAGTGACGATATCTTCGTTTCCACGTGTGATATTAATATTTGTGCCTTTACTCTCTATGTATATAAAGTGATATACAGTATCTTCAACTTCTATGTATACAAGGTGATGCGTCTTTATTCTGTATACAATATTATGTATGATTCTGTACTTCCTATGTATTAAGGACAATTTCTCTTCTACGTATACAATACCTGTATATGTGTTACTTTCTACGTATACAAGGTGATGTATCGTTATGCATACGAGGTGAAATGTATTCATGTATAAAAAATGTGTCTATACTTTCTATGTGAATACAAAAAAATACAAAAGTTAATAAGAAAAAATAGGATGAATAAGCTGTATTTTCTCAAAGTACGAAAGATCACCCGGACGACAGAGCCCACTTAATGAAGGTAAATTTTCAGTACAATTTCAAAGCCATTTTTTCACAGCGCAATGGTTCAGGCTGAATGTTTTTTGTTCTTCTTTCTCTGGCTGGTGGCTAGTATAGAGCTCTAACTCAGTTAACTGAAAACAGAACACTGCAGAGCAAGGAGTCAAACATACCAGAGAAAATGGGAAATTCGAGGACATTGAACCAAGTCGGCTACACTATAGAAAACAAGAAACTCAAGGACAATGAAGTAATTAGACCAAAGAAAATGCTAAGGTCTCAGAAAAACATAGAAGGCGGTAATCCTTATTCAAATGCAACACAGAAATTGAGAACTTTTAAGACAAGTATATCACTGAATATGGGAAGCTGTAATACATTAAGTTTTGAGGAAAATAAACAAATGGGGAGCAGATACTAAGTGGTGCTCACAGAAAACAGAAATATTCAGCACACTTATCCAGAAGAAAACTGGCAACTACAAATTAAAATGGGAATAAAAAATTAAGGGCAAAATGAAGAAAACGGGAATCAATAAAAGAACACGTGAAGCAGGGTGGTGATCGGTGACTATTGGAAACCAGTGCATGATCCAGTCACGTGTAGATGCACATCCTAAGTAGGGTAATGAGAACCTCCTTCTCCCAGGAGGGTGAGGCCAAGTGAGAGAGGGAGAGTCGAGTGTGTGGTGTAGGAGACCTGGGATCATTGCACACCTCCCGGAGCCTTCAACTCGACTGCAACATCGCAAGAGCCGTCGCCAAGTTTTTAAAACAAATTCTCAACGTTTTACCTCGTGTATGAATTTTTCAAAAATACTTTCACCTGTGTTAGTGGCGGAGTTACAAGAACCTAGGTGCTTTTATTACCAGAACGATAAATATGTATGCTGAGTAATATGACAACTCATCTTACTACAATCACTTCATAAAATCATTTAACTATGTATATATACTGAATTTATATGATTAATATGGATGTATACTGACTTAATATGTTGCTAAGTATGTATCCTGATTAAATTTAATACGTCCACTTAGTCGACTTTCTGCCGGTACGAGTAAAACTGAAATTATGGAAATACAGGTAGTCATATAATACAAAGACTACACAGTTGACATATTTGGAAAGACGATGTAAACTATACTGCAAGACCAATGAACCAACATTTATACTGTAAGAGTAGATACAGACGTGGCAAAAGTAGTTTAAGAAAGTATGTTGTTGATATGAAGTAGTTTCCTTGGAATGCTTATTAAACCACCTTGGCTCTCCCAGACAAACACTTGACTAGAAATATAAAAAGTCAACCACGAATAAGTTATTATAATGTTTATCACGTAAGGGAAGTCACACACACACACACACACACAACATGGTAAAGTGCATCAGCATGTAGTGACTGTGGTGATGGTGGTGTGTGGTAGTGACTGTGGTGATGGTGGTGTGTGGTAGTGACTGTGGTGATGGTGGTGTGTGGTAGTGACTGTTGTGATGGTGGTGTGTGGTAGTGACTGTGGTGATGGTGGTGTGTGGTAGTGACTGTTGTGATGGTGGTGTGTGGTAGTGACTGTGGTGATGGTGGTGTGTGGTAGTGACTGTTGTGATGGTGGTGTGTGGTAGTGACTGTGGTGATGGTGGTGTGTGGTAGTGACTGTTGTGATGGTGGTGTGTGGTAGTGACTGTGGTGATGGTGGTGTGTGGTAGTGACTGTGGTGATGGTGGTGTGTGGTAGTGACTGTGGTGATGGTGGTGTGTGGTAGTGACTGTGGTGATGTCTCTGTGGTGATGGTGGTGACTGTGTGGTGATGGTGAATGTGTGGTGATGGTGATGACTCTGTGGTGATGGTGGCGACTGTGTGGTGATGGTGGTGACTGTGTGGTGATGGTAGTGACTATGTGGTGATGGTGGTGACTGTGGTGATGGTAGTGACTATGTGGTGATGGTGGTGACTGTGTGGTGATGGTGGTGACTGTGTGGTGATGGTGGTGACTGTGGATGATGTGGTGAGTGACTGGTGATGTGGTGGTGACTGTGGTGGTGGTGGTGACTGTGGTGATGGTGGTGTGTGGTGGTGGGCTGTGTGGTGATGGTGGTGACTGTGGTGATGGTGGGCTGTGGTGATGGTGGTGACTGTGGTGAGTGGTTGGTGTGTGGTGGTGACTGTGGTGGTGGTGGTGACTGTGGTGATGGTGGTGTGTGGTAGTGACTGTGGTGATGGTGGTGTGTGGTAGTGACTGTGGTGATGGTGGTGTGTGGTAGTGACTGTGGTGATGGTAGTGTGTGGTAGTGACTGTTGTGATGGTAGTGACTGTGGTGATGGTAGTGACTGTGGTGATGGTAGTGACTGTGGTGAAGGTGGTGACTGTGGTGATGGTAGTGACTGTGGTGATGGTGGTGTGTGGTAGTGACTGTGGTGATGGTAGTGACTGTGGTGATGGTGGTGTGTGGTAGTGACTGTGGTGATGTGGTGGGGACTGTGGTGGTGGTGTGTGGTAGTGACTGTGGTGTGTGGTGGTGACTGTGGTGATGGTGGTGTGTGGTAGTGACTGTGGTGATGGTAGTGACTGTGGTGATGGTGGTGTGTGTGGTTGTGACAAAGTTACGAAGGTATAAATAACACTGACTCGTATTAACATATCCTATATCAAATTCAATATGTATAAATTGCACTGCCACCGATGGAGTGGGTCGTATTGATCTGCAAGTGTCTGTGTTGG